TTCTCAAATAATTGTAAAATTCAGGTGGTCGAAAATTGCAAAGCATCTGCCAGGGAGAACCGATAATGAGATAAAGAATTACTGGAGGACTAGAATCCAGAAACACATTAAGCAAGCGGATCAGACAAATAATTACTCTGCTCATCAGAGTAATTCCAAGGCGGCGGATCATCAGCAGGCGAGCACCAGCCATGTCTCAGGTAGCAGTGTTGCTGATCCAATGGAGGTGTACTCTCCACCGTCATACCCGTACAACACGATGGGGACTTTTCCTGTGGGGACTTTTCCGGAGCAGTTGCCGATGGAATCAAATGAGCAAAACTATTGGAGCTTGGAGGAATTCTGGTCCATGCAGTTGCTTAATGGTGACTAAATAAATATTGAGAGCAATTACCAAATTCTAAATTTGGATTAATAAAGTAATTAGTATTCATCAGTGAGACTTTAAAAAATTTAAGTCAAAAAAATACTTAAACTACGTCGTTTTAATAAAATATTATGAAAAATATTAAAACAATTTTATTTTTATTTTAAAATTTAAAATATTTTAAATTTTTAATAAAAATTTATTAAAAATGACGTAATTTTAAGTAATTTTTTTACTTACTTTTTTTTTTTTTACTAGTGCCGTTGATAAATATTTTCTCTTCATATAATTACGCTCTTCAATTTATAATTGGGACTTAAAATGAGTAGAAATTATGTTTATATGTATGAAATCTACGAATGGAGGTTTGTAATTGGATCATGTTTACGTCTATGTCTATATATATATATATATGGGGTTTTTTTATGGATTTTTTGTATCCCTTTGAGATATGAATAAATCCATTGATCCCGATTGTACTCTAAAATAAGCCTTGTGTACAAAAAGTTTTTGGGCACTTAATATATGCGTACTGTATTACTTACATATTTTTGAACTGGTATTACTTATATAGTTTTGGGATGTAAAATAATAGGAAAAAAAAAATTTCCCATGCTTGTATTTTTATACATTAATTTTGTTATCTTAAGGTCCATGCATCTACTATAATTGTGATTTTAACTTTTCCTTTTAAGTTATTTCTTCAAGTTATTTTTTAATGATAACAAAGTGTCGAAACCAAATTTGAAATTGAACTTTTAAAAAATAGAGAACCACACATGTGCATACATTACTACCTAACCAAAGCAAATAGAAAACGAACGCGTTGGGGCAACTCATATTTTCACATGGATAAAGATAGCATAATTCGTCAATATTGTCTTTTTTTATCCATCTTTATACATTGCTATGCAAAATCGAAGGTCGACGTGAACCAAACTCTTTGCATTCTTTGCAAGGAAGTCTTCACATGCTCCTTATAAATTCTCCTTCACTTTGTTTCAAACATCTTACCTTCCACGTGCTCGTTTCATAATATCAATCTTAGTTTTATTTACAAACAATGTCATTCAATACAATTAGTTAATTAACTAAGTTAGACCCTTTGTCTCTAAAGTCAAGTAATATATATCCTTAATCTCAACTGCTTGCTATATAAGACAATCCTATTCTCCATAAATAAGAAGCTAACTTTAAATATATGTTGTTCTTTTCTTCATATGTCGATAGTTTACGCACTAAAATTAAGTTTTTGGATAAAATTTAGAGAATGTTTTAATTATAGTGTATAACCTTTGAACTAATTTAGCATCAGTTGCACTCTTATATTAGAGAGGATATTTTTTCCAAATAGCTCCCTATATGGTTGTTACTCATGATGACTGAGGAAAAACAAAAGAAGGCATCATTTGTGTAGGCTTTCACTGTCTTTGACAAAGTGATCATCTTCATTGCAGATAAAGTGAGAGCTCACATTTCAGCCTTTCGTTTATTTCAGTCACATGTTTTTTGTGCAGAAATCAATAGGGAGCACAAGGGATAACGTAACATGTGAAAGGTGAGAAAATTGCACATGATGGTCGGCCATGCATCATGATTCTTAACATGTTCAATTGGTAAACAGGTTGATTAAATAAACTTAAAAAATAGAAAATTATCTTTTTCTTTTTCTTTTTTATAATGTATAATATATAATCATTATCAGAAATAAAAAGAATAGAAAAAAAAATCCCTTATAAGGAATCAAAGACAAAAAGTACGTGGTAATTTATAACGGGCCCCAGCCTGCAGCCATCTTAAATTTATTTATCAAGGCCTTAAAGCCCTTAACAAGCTGGAAAAAATGCTGAATAGAGCCCATAGCCCAACAATGGGCCAAGCCTAATCCAATATCAAGATTACCATTATTTTTCCTATTGGTACCCAAAAAAAAAGAAGGATATTGTCCCTCACTCCTTGTGGTAAACACAAAGCCTCATCCACGACCACAAACGATCAATTTGCATATGAAATCATCATAGCCATTATCATCATCATCATCAAATACAGGCATCAGACGGTTAGAATGGCAAGTTGTCCTTTTGATCAAAACCGGTCCCACCATCAACCGCCGGATAACGGTCATGATGAACAAAACTGTAAAAACATCAATTTCCCACCAAATTCCTGAAATATTTGCGCTTTTTAAGTGAATTAATGCTGTTCATTCTTCTTTGGGAGTTTGCCTTGAAAATACCACATCTTTAGAGGTTGAAGGAGAGAACCAGAGGTTGAGAGGGAGGGATGGGAAGAGGGAGGGCATTTATGTATGTGATCCTTGGGGGAGGTGTAGCAGCAGGATATGCAGCTCTAGAATTCACAAAGAGAGGGGTTTCTCGTGGTGAACTCTGCATTATCTCTGAGGAAACTGTGAGTTTCAATGCATTTTGTTTTTACTTCTTAGGATAGGAGTTTCTTTGTGTTCTCATCTTATGATTAGTGGGTATTTGTTTTTACAATTGGGTAGTTGTTCTTTGTGTAATGTTCTCTGTAATTTACTTGGTGCCCCCATATTCAATCAAAGATTCAGTTTTTTCAGTTTCTTATGATTTATTTTCAGCTGATATGGTTCTTCGGAACATATATGAGTGCTTCTTTGTTTTCCAACTCCATTAATGATATCTATCTGTTTTTTGAAGTAATAGGATTTCATTTATTTTGTTAATTTAGGAATTTATGGAGTTACATTTATTTCGTTTCAGGTAGCCCCATATGAGAGGCCGGTATTGAGCAAAGATTTTTTACTTCCTGAAAGTAAGCATTTGAATCTGACTCTTCTGAGTCTGGTTTTTTTATCCAACTGTATTCATGACAGAAGATAGTTCTCAACATTGTGTTTACTTCATGAGAATTAGCACTTGCCTCTAGCTTTCTAGTTCTCCTTGAAATTTTGGGAGTGTATGAAATGCTTTAAGCTCTCTTGCTGAAGTGTTTCAACAATATGAAGAGGAATTATGCACTAGTTGAGAAGAGCAGGGTTTTATTTACACTTTCACTCTATGGCGTAATTTGTTCAGAGGATCAATTTATCCCTTCCTTAATGTTCACTGGAGAAACCTTTGGGGTAAGGGGGCGGATGTCTATGCTGAGCTTTAGCTCTGGTTGTCATAAAGCTAATCATTTCCACATTCATCATTTTCCTTTTCTGTCCTCTTCCTTCAGTTTTTCTTGATGTTCTCTCGTTAGAACTGTTAAATTTTATGGCAAACTGCAGATCCTGCACGCCTTCCATCATTTCACACATGTGTTGGTGACAATGAAGAAGAGTTAACTCCAAAATGGTACAAACAACATGGTAAATTTTCTAACAGTGTGATTGTCCTTATTATTCTCTGATCATAATGAAAACATAAGAAGTGACATCCTTTTGTTTAAATGTATATGTCCTACCATTTATGCTGTACTTGCAAATAGCATTGCTTTTGTGTTGCATCATGGATGATTTGCCTGTTTTACAGAAAGGGAATTTGGGTTTAAGATTTCTAATTAATACATATTTGGATGCGTCAGGCATCTTTTGTGTCTGCAACTTTTACCACAGAACTAAACTTCATTTATTTTCATTTCTTGAAATGAGTTGAAACACAGATCAGAACTACTTAACCACATGAAAATGGGGCTCCCTCCTTGTTTCTGTTTAATCGTTGGATTCAGGGTGTTGGTATATCGGCCTTGTCCATTACCAGGGTTAAAAGATGAAGCTGTCACTGTTTTTCTAAATATTCCAAGTACAACCATGTTTCTTGTTGTTTATAAAGTGAAAAATGCTTCACCTTTCAGATTCGAGAAAAATTTAATTCCTGGCATGATCCTTAATTTTTTAAATTTATTTTAGGTATTGAATTGGTTCTTGATGCTCGAGTTAAGTCTGCTGATATAAGGCGTAAGACACTATTAACAGCAGCTGGCGAGACTATAAGTTACAAAATCCTGATCATTGCAACAGGTGCTCGGGTATTGGAACTGATCTGTCAATGATTTGATACATTTCTCTTGCTTTAAGATAGTCAATTGATCTTTCATTGAAGCAGAGATAATGAAATGGTAGTTTCACCAAAGATAATAACGATTTCCTTATCTTTGTTCTCTACAAAGTGTTCTCTTCTTTGGAAACAACAAATATTTGATGTTGCGTTGAACTCTGTAAGAACAGCGTAAATGTACTGGTAAAGAAAAGAAGATAAAATTCCTATTGTTTTCACAATTCAGATGAGTTCTTTGAAATATTGAGAACGGATATAGACATGTGATTGACGTTTAGAACATCACAAGACATTTTCATGAATGTTATATTTTGCTTCGGGTGTTAACTTATCTTTGAATGATAAACAGGCTTTGAAGCTTGAAGAATTTGGAGTATGTGGATCAGATGCTGAAAATTTGTGTTATTTGCGGGATGTAGCTGATGCAAATAGGCTTGTCAATGTGATGCAATCTTGTGCTGGTGGAAATGCCGTTGTAATTGGTGGTGGGTACATTGGAATGGAGTGTGCTGCATCCTTGGTGATTAATAAAATAAATGTAACCATGGTTTTCCCAGAGGCACATTGCAGTAAGTGATCTTGTGGGTTATCTAACTATGCTGATTGCTTTTTATATCTCTTGGTAAGCTTCTAAATGATTGTAAGAATTCTTTCATGTAAATGCTAATATTGTCTCTCTTTTATAGTTGCCCGTTTATTTACACCCAAGATTGCAAGCTATTATGAAGATCACTATGAATCTAAAGGTGTTAAGTTTATTAAACGAACTGTCTTGTCATCGTTCGAATTTGACTCCAGTGGGAAGGTATTGTTCCTAGCTTTAAACTTGGAAGAGCATTTCCTTTATGAAAATAGACCAGACGAGCTTGTTCTTATGTTATAAAACAGCTAATCAACTTGCTTTTCAGGTTATAGCTGTTAATCTAAGAAATGGAAGCCGTCTGCCTGCAGACATGGTTGTGGTTGGAATTGGAATACGTCCAAACACAAGTTTGTTTGAAGGCCAACTGACTCTGGAGAAAGGTGGGATCAAAGTGAATGGACGGTTTCAATCAAGTAACAACTCAGTCTATGCAGTTGGAGACGTTGCTGCATTTCCAATCAAACTCTTTGGGGAAACCAGGAGGCTTGAACATGTTGATTCAGCTAGAGAATCTGCAAGACATGCTGTTGCTGCAATAATGGAACCAGAGAAAACTAGGGAATTTGACTACCTTCCCTTCTTCTACTCCAGGGTTTTTGAATTGTCTTGGCAGTTTTATGGGGACAATGCTGGTGAAGTAGTGAATTTTGGTGACTACTCAGGACATACCTTTGGGGCCTACTGGATAAACAAGGGTCACCTTGCTGGTTGTTTCCTTGAAGGTGGAAGCAAAGAGGAATATGAAGCAGTAGCAAAGGCAACCAGGCTCAAACCAGCAATTGAAGACTTGGCAGAGTTGGAAGAGCAGGGTTTGAGTTTTGCATTGAAAGTTAGTCAGAAACCTCTACAAGAAGCTCCTCCCATTGCTCTGGAGGGACCACTCTGTGCTTGGCATGCGATAGCTGGAGTAATCCTGGCTGCTTCAGTGGCTGCATTCGGATTTTGGCATGGGCAGAGGCACAAAAGACGGTAATATTGCTTTACTTGCATCAGCAATTTGTGGCAATGCTGATTCAATCTGTAGTACCAATGTTGTGCCATTGATAGCATAACTGATGATCCAAATACTTAAATTTTTTCTTAACATTCATTCAATGCACTTCAATGTTGTTCCTCTCTCTCTAACTATATGTATGTTGATGATCCAAACAAATCCTTACATTTTGTGGTCTTACCACAAATTTTGTAAATTTGTCCCTTTTTTTCTCGTACTTCTTCCTCACCTTTCTATTATTTTCTCGCAAATTGAATCAAAGTGGGCATTTGGTCTAGTGGTATGATTCTCGCTTTGGGTGCGAGAGGTCCCGAGTTCGATTCTCGGAATGCCCCC